AGTTTTAGATTGTAATATCCGTGAAATATTCTTAACAGACTAAGTTAAACTGCTAGCTAAAGATGCTTACAACAGGACTAGAATAAATATTTTTATATGTATTGATATAAAATTTGATTTTGAATTTTGAATTCGATTTTGAATGCTTACAACAGTTTTTCAGAGAAAAAATACTTAAGGTCTCTGTGGTTTAAGAATGAAGACTTATTCTTTTTGAAAAGAATTATTAAACATTTTTCTTGAAATTTATTTTTAATCGTGATGAAATGATGAAGCAGGCATCCGGAGTAAGCAAGAACTTTAATGAAAGTTATGATCGATATCTCTGTTTCTGAAATAATGTCTTGGAAATAGGAAAAGTATTATTGCAAAATTCTCTGTATATATGTCCTCTCAAAGATCTGGTGATAGGATAAGAGGGGGGAGACCCTTGGATTCATCCCCCCGAGGTTGTTCTCCATCAAAATTGAGAAATCTCCTTTTTGCGGATGTAATTCAATCGCCCCCTGTGGGGGTACTTCTGGGCAACGTTCTCGATGATTAGACGGCTAAATAACTGATAAATTTTGGAACTTTCTGAGAAATGCATTAAGCTGCAAGGCCTTGCCATTTTAAATAATAATCTTTGTACATATAATTAATCAGATTATGATAGTGTAGAAAATTAATATCAGTTATAACAATTTTTCCAGTCCTCACTATTAAAAAGTATTCCGCTATATCTGTACCTGAATTTATTATATCATTTAATACTTATGTAGCCATAAATAAAATACTTGATAATTAAATTACATTAACGTGCTGTATGTAAATCGGGCTTCAAGACATCAAATGAAAAGGTAAATTAATATAAAGGTCAAAGAAAAGAATACACAACATAAAATACATTGTTCTTATAATTATCTACTACCGTAGTTTAAGGAAAGAGTCTATTTGAAATTTCTGCAATATTTATACTAGCCACATCTATAATAATTCAAAGTAAGTTTGTACGAATAAAAATCATTTATTTATGAATTAATCATTAACTTGTAAATAAAATTTGAAACACTACTGAAATACCCGTATAACTAACTCACTTTACTCTTGCCTTTCCCATGACTTTGTTATTTAAGGCACAGCGCTTTTGCTTTTCAAGTAAACTAGGTATACCTTAACTTTCACAATTCCAGCTGAAACTTTTCTAACAAACTAGCAGCGTATCCTGATCAGTAAACAAAAAAAAAACTTCGGTTTGTTTGAATTTTCTTTTAAAAATATCATTACAAAGCGCTTTCTAAACATATGCATGTAGAGCTGTACAAATGTGAGTCATAAAAAACAGTTGGTTGTTACCTGAACGCATATCAAAATAGAGAAAGAGAACAGCAAGTTATTTGATATTATTTTACGTAAAAAAACTTTTGAAATGTCACGAATTTGAATAGTTTTCAAAGCTGTATTTGTGTGCCCTCCCCTATTTGCATTTGCAAAAGCAAAATTGCTTGACAGCGGTCATTGATTTCGTTTAATAAAGTGCTGAAGCTTCAGAAAAAATATGAATTTCCTTGCCATTGTTTCACTGATTTTTACAGTATTTTAAGAGATCATCGTGGGCAACAAAAGGAATTTGAAGGATACTGAAAGAAACGTAGCTGAAACAAATTTACCACATGCCGAAAGAGATACTCTTAAATACCAGCTGCGTAGAAACCGAAACAGGAAAATGTCGAGATTCATTTCTGCTATTCCCGAGAAAAGAACCATGCACGAATTCATTGCAATAATTTCCATAATTGTTTGCTCTGGTGACTTTGGGCAGACATCCGGATTGCCAATATAATTGCGCTTAGAAACTTCCAACTATTACAACTAAATGACACACGCTGTCTTCGAATGCACCAGAAGTCTCGAACTATAGTACAGTTATATCGCGAGTAAAATAAACCATTTTTATGTTACTAAGTCCTGCTGTGATTGTGAACAAATTAAATGTGCATTGCAACCCTGCAGTTTCACGAATAAATATTTGATAAGATTTCATAATCACATACAATCCCTCCACTTACAAAGGAAATCATTTAATCACATCTTAAATAATTAAATCATCTAATCGTAGTTACAACAGAATGTCTCTTACTAAGTATTTTCAAAATATTAGCGTTTATCTCAGCAAAGATAAACACACTGTTTATAACATAAGTTAAAATCAGTAATAAATCACATTAACAATTTTTGCGCTTTGGAAATATTTGCAATAATAATCTTACCAAATAAAGGATGAAGTCTAAAAAAATATATTCGTCAATAAGAAATTATCTCGAGTCATTTACGAAACGTCTAAGCATTTAAAAGTTAAATACAGACGGTGTTGCAAAGTATGCAAAATTTTATTATTCAATTTTGTTTTTTATATGCGAAAAAATTATCTTTCGGCTTAAAAACAGCATATCAAAAACTTTTAATGCACTTTTAAGTAAAGCAATTTATTTCAGTAGAAGTTTCGAAACGTTTTAAACTGTAACCGAGTAATTATTTCAAATGCATATTTTTCAAAGTATTATTTGTGATTCTTTTTATTTGCTTAAAATGTTCCACCAAGTATTTTTATCGCCTTTTGGGATCATCTGAAGCAAATAATGATTATGTGATATCAAATAATTGTAAACTGGTGTAATCCAACAAAAAATGATTGCATTAGATGCAGCTTAAACTCAGACCAAAAAAAAATAAAAAGAAAAAGGGAAAAAATAATGGAATAAAATTAATTTTATAAAGATATTATAAAATTAACTCAGACCAAAAAAACTGAGAGGAAAAAGGGAAAATATAATGGAATAAAATTCATTTTATAAACATATTATAAAATTTTTATTTCAAGAAAATTAGTTTATAGTAACCTTTTAGTAAATGTACTAGTATTAATTAGCAGTAGTGATGTGATAATGCGCTAGAAGTAAGACATGCCTAAGGAATGCATAGAGCACTTTGTTTTAAACCGATACCAGTCTGATTTTACTTAATTGTAAATTGTAACATGTTCTAATTTCTAGTTAAAAGCACGGAATGATGTTCAATGAAATTCAAAGCTTTCAGTGCTTAAATTGGCTCTTTTTATGAGACTTAAATTGGATGTTCGTTTATGAAATTAAACAAGAATATTTTCTTCCTTATATTTTATATGAAGAGAGCGAGTACGTTTGTAGTGAATGTTAAACGCGCATTTATAACTGTAAAAATAAATTTAAAACGGCTTATAAATTGTATTTAAAGCGAGATTACACAACAAATATTTATCCTTTAGACAATTTCTAAAAAGGTATTGTTCATACTAAAGGTATTGCAATTACATTTTCTAAAAAGGTATTGCAATTACATTTAAGCTACGTTGATCATCATGATCTTGTCTATTGGAAGAGGTTTTTAAAATTTCAATTCAGATTCCTATTAGTTTTATTGGTAACTTCAAAGAGTCTAATTTTTACCGTTATCTTCCATTTTTATTTTATTACAGGAAACTAATTTTGCGGAGGAACTAGCTGTGAGGTTTGATGCTGTTTTTGTTCTCTTATATTTATTTGAATAAACGATTCAATTTTTTGAATAGTAAATGCATTTCTTGATGTAGATATGATTTGCATCACATAGCGTGTTACGTTTTTCGTTAGTTGGTTTGTGTACTTCTTTCAGAATATAGGTCTCCGCTTTGGGAAGATAAGATTTTCCTGGACAAGGGCGATTTACTTTTATTTACGTTACACTTACAAAAAGCCGCAGGACACCATATTCAGCAACACGGGTAGCAGAGATTGTAATCAGAAACAAAAAAACCGCTGCTGACTATGAATACTTTCATCTTCGATATCTGTGGTTGTAGCTCGTTACAGTTTAGAAATACGTTAAACATTTCTAATAAATTAACTATTTTTGATAATTAAAAGAACTTGAAGGAAACTGCAAAATGAGTTACAGTGCATGCCAGATACTTTGAAATGTGTTATTATTTAATGTACTTTGATATTTAATTTCATATAAAAAACAGTAATTAATTTATTCTTAAAATTAAATATTTCTTTTAGCTTAGATTAATTTTATTAATACTTCATTCAACTCTTCATTTATTTTCCTTCTCTGATTTGTTTGCTATTTACCCCTATGTGTTTTCAAATCTTGATTTCTTAGTTCTAATATATTTGCTTTTTTATCAAAATATATCACATAAATTGCTGGAGAAATCCTCTTGAATGATAGGTGCTCAAGATAAAAGGTGCTTGGCAAAACATTATTCAATGAAGAGAACTATGGGGACTTAATAAATAAATGTTCATAAATCATAGTTCATAATGTTAACCAGTGATGAGGATATGAATGTATTTGAACTTTGATATGAATGTATTCATGACTTCATAGTTTGAATTTTTCCTTTTTTTTATATACGTATATCCCTATTATATATAAAGGTTCCATTTTTCCTATGTGCATGGTGTATAAAAAAGTATTAGCAGATTCAAAAAATATCGTTTGTTATAAATATCGTTAAATATAGTTTTGACCGTATAAAAGCAATATGGATATGAAAAATAATACAGATTCGAAATATCAGCATTCTGAAATAGGTTTGACTGCTGTACTTAAAACTAATTTAATATCGAACAGAATATTGTTCTAAAATATCTCTGGAGGAAAAAAAATATTTGCATTGTTTATAAAGAACAAGAACTTAGTTTCTTTTTAGAGACCCTATTTTGGTAGGAAAATAGAACTGTTCTTACTCATGATAAGCTTCACAATAAAAGGAAAATTTCTCAAATTCACAGCAGTTAAAAATAAATTAGTTTAAAAATTAAAAAAATCAATTTAAAATCTAATATATGAATTCAGAAGTTTACTCTTCCTTTTTTTAATAGCAATTGATCGCGAAAACAATTAACAGTTAGGGAAAAAAATGGTTGTATTTATAAACCTCCAACACAGAAAGACTGTGTCAGCACATCCTTCGTGAGGGAGGACTGATCACTCACCTCTGTGGCAGCTGTGGGAAAAAGTGAAGAAAAGTCATATTCCCATCCCTGGGGGCAACCGGTTCCTCTTGAGGCGCTCTCATTTGAAGATACCCACTCGTTTCCCAAGGAAGAAAAGTTCCCTAGTTGGCACCTGCTGTCATTGCTCGCTTCCGCCCGCGGGTCGTCGCTCCGACATCTGTGGTCAGGCACCATTAAAATGAAAATCTGGATCCAATAACTTAATGAAAGGTATGCGATAGCAGTCAATAAGAAAACAAAACAGAGAAGCCTCTGATACAGTCCGAACTCTCCGGCATCTGCCAGAGCAGCATTGAATCCCATCTCCAACGGATATCACCCTCCGATACTCCTTGAGGTATTTGGGAGAAATAACACACTTGAGAAAACATTTACTTGGAGATTCATCTTGTAAATATGAAAGCTCTGTAAAAGAGCTTACGGGATTTACTCCATTTGGATTTATGAAACCATTATTTTGCACAGAATGAAAACAAAGAACAATCCTCAGCTGACCTTGCAAGCAGGGATATTGTCCCTTGCATAGAACGAAAGATCTTTCAGTCAGAAGCTTTTACTCATCACAGCAAAAGCGAGTAGTGATGCTTGGAGAGTGGCACGCGAAAGAGTATTTATAGTGAGACTAGCGATCAACTAGTTGGTAGGAGCAAACACGAGGCAAGTCCGAGACCGGTCTTTTGATTTCCCCTCTCTTCCCTCCGTCAGTGAGGTTTCCCCTTTCTACGCTCATGTGAAGGCACTAGATCGGGGATGATTTTTTTCATTCCTTCCCTATCTTATTATTTACGATTATCAGAGGGAGAGAGAGATTCCCATCGGTATTAGAGTACTTCATAATGATGTTCTTCATTTTAAGTAGCCTGCAGTGGGGACTGGGTGGTTTCACAATATTTCATTCATTTTTAACGTTAAACATCAATCACTAGCTATAACTTTAGTAATATTAAAGGGAATTCGCCTCATCTTTGAATAATACCATTGACCTGAAGCTTTGCACTGTTTTTGAATTATTGATTTTATCAAGTAGAAGAGCAAATTAGCTTTTTTCTTTTTCCTTTTCCATTCAATTTTCAAGTTTAATATCAATGTAAATAAAGGTAAAGAAGAAGGGAGACAAAAACTGCAGTAAACAAAATTTAGCAGAATTTTTCTTCAAGAGTTTGGCAAATTTTCTTCAGAACGATTTTTTTTAACTCCATTTGAGGTTAATACATCTTGAAGTTATATGCCTGACTCCATAGTTAATTGTAAGTAAAGGATGGGCAACGATTAATGGAACATAAAATTAATTTAGTTAAACTCTTGAAAGTTATGTAAATTTATAATTCATCTCATTTCTATGAAAGATATGTCCATGAATATGGTGAAACATCTGCATACTGTACGCAACTGCATTCTCCCAGCAGTCTGAGATTAGGAATGCTTTTCTGTTTTCTTCAGGTATTTAAAAACCCGCTTTTCACAAAGCATCATCCTCAAGAATCTTATCTTATAGCTGGATATCTTTTCACCCAAAATGTTAATTAATACTAATTAACATACTAATTAACATTTTGGACTAATTAACATTTTGGGTGAAAAAGTCATGAGTAGGAACAGTATTAAGCAGAAAATAAAATTCTGATTACGAATAATTACGAAAGTGAGAATACTTATAATTTATTATTTACTTATTAAAAAGAAAGAAAAGTAATAACTTGAAAACAAACTAGGACTTTATTTCTAGTAATGTTATTTTAAATATGATTTTCGAGATTCAGAGTAAATTAACTATTTGTCTGCTGTGACGTACGTAGCAAATTAGAAATACGCAAATGTGTTAGCTGATATTTCTCAAATTTTGTTCCAATATTCTTCTTACTTCTAACCCCAATACCTCTACTAATAAACGTAAGGAGACAGTCAGTTTTGTTGTGGAGTTAAAGCTCAAGTAGGAAATATTCGAATCATTTGCCAATCTCCAAATTAGAAGAATTAGAAGCCTTCAAGATTGCGAGGGACGAGATGTTTCTGAATACAATTCACAGTTGAAGTACGAGTACTGCAATATTTTTCTCTCTTATGAACATGTAGCTCATTCCCTTTACATTTTAATTTTATATTTAACTACAAATTTACAAGGCCAACTTAATGTAACTCTTTCTGAAAGCTACTTTTGTAATGCTTCAGTTTATTGATATTAAAGAGTTATTATTATTACTTTTTTTTTTTTCCATGTTACAAAACCCGAGACGCCGAATGTCGTAAAATTGAGTTCTCTCAGTATTCAAAATTCGTGGCATTCATAGAAGCATTATTTCCCATCTTTTATTACGTTGTAAGAACTAGATAGCGAATGATCGCTGAAGTTCGTGGGACAAGAAACAACAAGATAGAAGGGTAACTAACCCTTTATTATTCCAATAAGATTTAACAAAACTCCGCCTGGTAGTGTACAAACAAAGCCGACACTTAGGCTTGAACTTAACAGACTAAGAATTAAACTATAACTAAGATTAACTAAAGAAATATAGCCGAAGCTATCAAGATTCAAATCGACTTGGCCCCTTAACTTATTTGACGACGAAGCTTAGCAAGGGCCTGAGTACGGCCGAGCGTAATAACAGCTTTGGGAGAGAGTGCGGCCAAAAAGGCAGACGCGCGTAAATCAGAAACTCTGATTCTCTCTGACTCTGTAAGTAACTTCGTGGTTTAAATACCGCTCCTCTTCATTAAATATTCAGCAAGATTCCAAAACTACGTTCTGGCCGGAAGTAGTAAGTTGAAGTTAAGAATTTTACAGGAAAGGTTTGGTTTGGTTTTATTAGAGTAAGTTTTTATTAGATTACGGCAAAGCACTCGAGGGCTATCTGCCTTAAAGGAGGGATGCCTTCGTGGAGGACTTTTTAAGGGAAACTGGCTCGTATACACGTTACACATGGGGAAAACCACGAAAACACCCATGCAGCCAGCCCGTTCGCGGGATTCGAACCTCGGACCGAACTACCAGTGTTCAGTGACGTTACCGCTCGGCCGCTGGTGGGCTTTTACAGGAAAGGAACTTAAAATTTAACTGTTAATAAAATTAACATAATCCTTACAACGTCACCTTGAACGGAAGCTTTTATTAGCATACTTTAGTACATTTTGATTCATGTTCCTTCATCACAATATAAAAAAGCAAAACTGTGCGTTATTGCAAATATATAAATATATTTGCATTACTACAAATGTATATAGATTGATTTTCCTTTTTCTCGAAATAATTCATTTGTGTTTTCTTACGATATTATCGTCATGCATGAAGATGAAATGTCACGGCTTCAGTCACAGATCACAACTTCTTCAGCCACTGCTTCAATACAAAATTCCAAATTAAAGTTTGATATAAAGTTTTATTCTAATTTCAGAACTTTTGCTCAGGAACGGCCGAAATCACTAGCCGAAAAATCACCATTTTTCGGGAATGGCCGAAATCACTAGCCATTTTATAAGGTATTTCTTTCGCCTTCCTAGCGTTTCTTCGTGGTGTAGTGGTTCTGCACGCTGGGCCGGTATTCCAGAGGTCCCGTGGTTCGATTCTCGGCGAAGGTGATTGCTCATTTTTCATCTTGCCTGCTTCCCCCACAAAAATACCTAATGTCTCTACAATTTAACTGTCTCCTCATCAAAAACGTTGAACAGGGTGCACCATAGGAAGTAAACCGATGCTGCATTCTCAAGAAGAGCGGAAGGACTCGCACGAATAACCAATATTAACACGGGATTCAAACCGGGGTCCTGGAGTTTGAACTAGTTGTCAGCCTCCTCTAACCACTTTACCGTTCAGGACAGCCGCATTCTATAAAGTTTGATATCACAGATTTATTTTGAGTAGAAATACATTTGTTAGGTATTAGCTTAGTATTCAAAAAAAAAATTTTCAGTTTTACATCCTATGATATACTTATTTTGCGGTTATTATCAAATGACAGAACTTAGCTCTCATTACATAAGTGTTCTTTCATAGTTTTAGTAGTCAATCTAATATATTTCAGTACAGCGCATACGACCAAGTAAGTAGTCCTCATCAATTTAGCACAATCATATAAATGCAGTCAAGTGAAGCAGCCAACATTATTCGATGAAAATTAAACGGAAGACGATGATAACCAGGCAGAAGTTTAAAACTGGCAACTCGGTGAGGAGAGGAGAATCTTGAAGTGACAAAGATATCCTCGTGCATCCTAAGGCATTTAAATCTCAAGAATCTTTTATGCATTCTTTGCACTAAATCTGTGCTGAATTATCAAAGCTGTTATAGGTAAAATCTTCGTAAATTATCCGTGAGTCTTCTCAGATTATGTCTCATGTGTTCGAGAAGAAACATATATTTTATTATAAAAAGGGTAAGCTGAGTCAATATGAGCTTTGCATTTAATACAAAATTCTGGGAATAAAAATATTTTGGAAAGCTTTGGCTTTCCCTGTTCTGTAGCTATAGAGTAAAATCTTCAGGCATTTTTGTTGCAAACAAATCTTAATAACCATAATATTTCAACTACGTTAAAATGCTAACTGTCTGATTGTCAGGCTGTTCGCAGGTTTTTATTCATATTCCTTAGTGCATATTGGAGATTTATACAGAATATTTTCTTCCTTTGTAGCTTAAATTATCTCTTCATCTCTAGCTCTAGAGCAAGATACAGACGACCTTCATTTTTTAAAATTCTTGGATCCATTTTTATTGCTGGAAGAAGAAGAAATTTCAATTTCAAAAACTCACATCAATTTATTTCATTTTTTCCTACGCAATATTCATATCATATTCTCTATACCGAAGCCATATGTGACTTTAAATTTTATCTATAATCGTTATTTAGTCAAAAGATGCAGATATTCCTTACGGACCTGTCCTCAATGTAATTTTTACTTTTATTCTGATGATCAGCTGATGAGATGAATCTATTTAAAGATCTCTATAAGCAAAATGAAGCTATAACATATGCTCTTTTAAATAAAATGAGGTATTTTCACAGAAAAGTAATTTGTTTATATTTGGGGATAGAATTTTCTAGAGGATTTTTTAAGTTATTATAAAAACATTTCACAAGAAAATACTTTTGTGCAATGTATTTTCTAAACATTCATTTTTTTTTTAATTTCCATTTCTGTTTCTGCCGTCAACATTCAAACTTGAACAAATAAGTTTTCATATCTTATTAATAGATGCATTTTTAAACCAAAAGCATAACATACGTTAAGTTCTTCTGTTAACTGATACTGCGTGAAGATGGACTAATTACGTAACAAAGGACACAAAATAACAAATATGCTGATTCAATGTGATAAAGAGATGAGGTATTAAGCAATTATCTGGCAGAGAAATAAAATATTTCAGAGCACTAAACAAAAATCGTTTTGTTGCAAAATGTACAGTAAATATTTCCTTATTAACTTAGAAGCCAAAAAAACAAAAATCAGCGTTATATTTTCAAATTTTCACAGGACTAGTTTCGATGGTTTTACCGAATCATCATCTTCAGCTGCAAAAGCGCAAAAACCGTCAAAACTAGTCCTGTGAAAATTTGAAAATATAACGCTGATTTTTGCTGTTTGACTTCTAAATTAATATTTGTTCGGCGTGTTATTGTATCTTAAATATTTCC